AACCCACAAAGCAAGCAAATTCAGGTGATGGAAAGTTGGCTTCAGGTTGGAAATAGCTAAAACACTGAATACATTCATAGCTTGTTTTCCTCACAGTGAAATCATTCGCTTGCGCTCTCGGGGCAGTGCTCGACACTGGATCAAGGTAGGATGCAATGGTAATCATTTTCCCAGGAAAATTACACTCTAGGAAGTGAAATGTATATGGTTCACCTCATCGAATACCCCGGCATGTCTCAATTTGCAGCAGAGCCGTTTTCCCATGCATCCTTAGGCAGGGGGTGGTATTTCCCATTATTTTTTCCTAATGCACCAACTGATATTTAGGCAGCCTCTCAGACGCTAGGGCCCTTCCCTCCCCGTCTTCTGATGCTACCTCGTGGGGCACTGACAGCTTTTACAAGGTGTAGAAATGGCTAACATAATCTAATACAATTTAGAGGAGTGTGGAGCAGGAGGAAACAATTTCACAGTTCATTCATGTTGAGAAATGTTTCCTAGCATGTAAACTTGCATGCTGCCAAACAGAGCAAAATGGATGCCGTTTGCAGCCTCAGGTCATTTATTTCAAAATACCATCTATTTGGGCTTGCAGGTTTAGAGCCGTCCCTTAGGCACAGCTATTTCTATGTTTATGTAGACTCCTCAGAACAGTAGAGGGTACTTTAGCTCAGGAATGAATTTTATGAAATAAACTGATTGCGTTCTGGTTGTGTGTTCATGTGGATAGAGTTGACTGTCACTCTTACCTATGGAATAGTGGTACTAGCTGCTATTTTACAACCTATTGTAAATTTAGGGAGGGGAAGGAATGGGCTCAAAGGCTTCCTAAGGTTCTAAATGTTTATGGAAATAATATCGAAAACACCTCAAGTCCCCAAGCAGCAGCAAATGGCTTGGCTTTCTGAAGTGTTTGCTTTGATGCTTATCACTATCCGCAGGTTTTGGTTGGAGTTTTTGGTTGGGTTTTGTTGTTGTTGTTTCTTTAAATGTCATTATTGCAGATTACGTTAGGGTCTAAATCCTTTGCCATTCTTCCACATTTTTGTGTGGTATGAACATACTTATAACTGCAATTATCTGATAAAGCCCTGAAGACTCTGACAAAAGATTAATAACTCATGACCTCAGTTCCTGCCGGCTCACCCCGCCTGATGGAAGCAAGCTGGCCCTTCATCGTAGCATGCGCAGGGTACTCAGCCTCCTTCATTTCTCTCGCTCCACTCGTCAGGATTCTGCCTAATGCCCCCACCCTCTTCTAGTGCTCAAGCCCCTTTTCCTCTGGCACAAAAGAAGAGATGATGTGCAAATAAGTCCATGGAGCTTGCACCCGGGCTCCTCTTTGCCTTCTGACATCTGGATCATCTCAAAATAGAGGGCTAAGACTCTCCCTCCTCAACAAACATGTCATTCCTCTTTTGTTCTTATTGTCCTTCCTGCTGCCTGGGTTTTCATGATGTCTTGATCTGCACATACAGAGGCACAGATTGCTCTGATCTTTCATTTCTCTTACTGTCTCTCTATGGGAAAGACATCAGCACCTCTTGATTTTGGTGTTCCATTACCACAGATTCATAGTTGTCTGAGGCTCCGATTCTCCATATTTACAGCTCCACTGCCCATGTGTTCAAGGCCTATGTCTAACCTTGGTGCCATTGGGGAGGAGTGGAAGCTTTCTATGTGGAGCCCTAATTGAAGGAATCACACCATTAGAGGTGTGCCCTTGAGGGCGGGCAATGTTGAGACTCAAGCTGCTCCCCCTCCTCATCTTCCTCTTACTCCTCCTCCTCATTCTTCTCCTTTCTTGCTTCTCTGTCTCTCTCTCTCTCTGTCTCTCTCTCCCTGTCTCTCCCTCTCTCTCTCCCTCTCTCTCTCTCTCGTGTGTGTGTGTGTGTGTGTGTGTGTGTGTGTGTGTGTGTGTGTGTGTATACACCTCTTGTTTGCCATAAAGTGAGCAGTCTGCTGCATGTCCCCCACTGTGGGATGCTGGTCCAGATCAACAAAGCCAATAACAAAGAATTGAAATCTCTTGTCTCTGAGCCAAATAAACCCTTCCTGCTTTTAGCTTAGGTATTTGTTACAGTGATGGAAAGCCGACTAACACACTTTCTGTCTCTTATCTGTTTCTCCCTCTTGCCTGTATTGTTGTCTGGGTGAGAATAGGTGCTCCATCAGCCTTTTCATTAAGGGAGTGAGGGAAAGAGGAGAAGGAGAGACAAGTGGAGGTACCTGGAATACAATGGGAAAGGAAACTGATTATTCTGAATGTTAGTATGTTCTTTTGTGTGCTTATTGGAAAAGGTCTGTTTGTCTCAACTGGTCATTCATGTCCACTTTAAGAAGTCATTGTCACTTGTTAGCCATGTGTTTGGCTTACCTCTGCTGAAGAAGGTGCAGGTAACCCTCACTGACCTAGATAAGCAAATGGGAGCCTTGTTTTAAAGATGCATAGTTGTGTCTATGTGTATAGATCTAAATGCACATATATTATGAGTAAGATAAAGGGGTAGAAACCTGAGCCTGAAGATGGCACTTTTAATTCAAGCATCTTCCTCTCACCCTGCCCTTTTTGTGAAGAGATTCTCAAGACACTACTCTACTATGAGAACAGACATCTGAGCCCTTTTCTCTCCAGTCTCCAGCCAATGCCAGATTTCAGAATGGCTTTTCTTGCCTCTGTGCTGCCTCAGAGAAAGCCCCCAGGGAGAAGAGTCCCAGAAACAAACCAAATCCCTTGAGAATCTTTGTGCTTTTCACCTCTGGCTATTCATAATCCAGGACAATAACCCACCCAACTCAGAGAACCATCGCTCCGCCTGGGGTGCTCAGCAATTTATCCAAAGAACCATGTGGATGAAGAACGGACAGCTTGTGGTCACCTGCCCACCACATCTTCCTCCACTGCCTTTGACTCTTGCTGACCTGTCTATCCATCTTTCAATCCTTTGCTCAAGTCCCAGACCCTAACTAGCCATTGCTGCAAATGACTGGCAACCTGGGTACCCCTGCCCACCTACTCAAGATGACTTTGTCTTTGCTTTCATCTCTATCTATTCCAGGACCTGCCTCTAAGCTGAGTGACCGTATTCTTCACAAACTTGGTGGTGGCTAGCTCTCTCTTAGGCTTCTGGCACTTACCACATTACTCAGCCCAAGTCTTCTGGTTTCTCCACAGTATGGATTAAGGCTGGGAAACATAACAAGTACTTTAGTTACTGCCATGTTTCCCAAAGTTGCAATTTTATAAAACCCTTCACAACAGTAAAGAGCATCTTCTCCTCCCACCTATCCAAAACCTCTATGTCTGAAATGACACACCCCTGAAGAATCCAGGCATCTCTAACTAGCAGAATGTGGTCCTTCGGGCCTCCTATCCACTGCTATCCGTCTGGATGGAGAACCCACATGCCTGTGGCCCATTGTCCAGTGCAAAGATACTAACTACCAAAGTAATTGTTTACCATTCAAACAATTGTATAGTTTCCATTTCTAATTAAAAGATTCTGGTTTTTAGACTAATAAAATCCTTTAGCAAGAGTAGATAGTAATTCTAGTTTATAGTATCTTTGTTCTGCTAGAGATAAGGGGACAGGGCAGGAGGTCCTGCCTGGTCAAAAATCTCAGAGAATGACACATACCCTAAGAAATGCAAGACCATAATTATTGTCAAGTGTCCACAGCCAGTCATGTCTCTAAACTCACTGTCTCATCATTCATTTTGTAATGCAATGCAGACGAGCTTCCTTGTTTTGAAAGTGTGTGTGTAGCAGTGGGGGAGGGGAACTGGGAGTAGCCACCAGAAAGTCCCAGATGCCAGAGACCCAAGAGGTTCCCAGGACCCAACAGCGAGGACTTTAGCCAAAATTCCCAACAAAGGGGAGATAGAACCTATAGAAACTATATCCAGTGAATTGGCACAGCCCCAGGTGAGAGATGGGTCAGCCTACCCTCCTCAAAAATATTAATCCAGAATTCCTCCTGTCAAAAGGAAATGCAGGGACAAAGAGTAGAGCAGAGACTGAAGGAAAGACCATCCAGAGACTGCTCCACTTAGGAATCCATCCCATCTGCTGACACCAAACTCAGGAACTATTGCTGATGCGAAGAAGTGCTTACTGACAGGAGCCCTGGTATAGCTGTCCCCTGAGAGGCTCTGCCAGAGCCTGACCAATACAGATGTGGATGTACACAGCCAAACATTAAACTGAGTGCGGGGACCCCAATGGGGAAGTTAGGACAAGGACTGAAGGCGCTAAAAGAGTTTGCAACCTCATAGGAAGAACAACAATATCAACCAACCAGGACCACCCCCCCCCCCCCCGCAAAGCTCTCAGGGACTAAACCACCAACCAAAGAGAACACACGAGGTACCCATGGCTCCAGCTGGATATGTAGCAGAGGATGGCCTTATCTGGCATCACTGGGAAGGGAGCCCCTTGGTCCTGTGGAAGCTTGATGACCCAGGGAAACACTAGGCCGCTGAGGCAGGATTGGGTGGGCAGCTGGGGAGCACCCTCATAGAGGCAGCGGGGAGGGAGGAGGGGATATGGGGCTTGTGGAGGGGAAACTTGGAAGGGGGATAACATTTGAAATGTAAATAAATAAAATAACCAATAAAAAATGAAAAGAAACCCCAACAGCCTGAGCAACTTAAAGTGTACTTCATCCCTTAGCGTCAATGGTGATTGGTGTTTCTGAAATCCTTACCCCATGACCTAAATGTGCCCTCCATGAGCCTGAGGACGTCCCAAGGGGTCAGATCCACTCTGTGTGTCCTGCATGCGGTGTACAGGCGAGTGAGGGGCAGGGCTGAGGGGAGAGGAGCACACCAAACCTGGCACGGGAGGGGGAGGTGGGGTGGGGAATGGCAGCCTTACAAAACTGGGGCTCATGTGCAGACTCCACTTCCAATAGACATTGCCTGTTTCTTCCCTGCATTTCTTTTCATTGTTCTTGATGAAAAACATTATGTTTTTAAATTGATTGAAGTTAAAACATGATTTCTCATTTTAGCAATATATTATGTTTATTGGCACTTATAGCTTTATATTATGATGTTCATTACACATAAAATCCCACTCAGTATAATAAACCCCATGTGAATCAAATGTTTGGCCTGTTTCAAATGACTCCAAGGTGAAAAGGCAAACAACTCTTAGCTGACTTGATTGAACTAATGCAAACATTACTGTTGTATTGACTCTCTCTTGCCCATTGATTTTTAAAAGGCTTTGCAACCCTTGCTATCCATTAAGGCAAATCAGATGCAATTTGGTGCTCAGGACAAGAAGACACAGTTGGGTGTTGGGTATGTATAGTCATAGGGCAAAGAATCATTCTTAAATAGACTTATCAGGAAATAGTTCCTATATTTTGCTATGAACAGCTTCTTTGCTCTTAGTTTTTGAGTTAATAGTCGGGACTGCTGGATTGTCACAAGGATACATGGCTCAGTAACAAGTGAAGAGAAATGGCAAATTGTAGGTGCCTTTATTATTCCTCACTGAACACCGTTAAAAGCTAGAATCTCACATGGCCTTGTATTTTTTCAGTTCATACGTATGGCAGATACACATTATGCTAATAATGCTTCCCCTTGTGCACAGGATTCATCTCTCAATTAGAGATGATTCTTCTCTTCTCACAAGTGTTGAAAGTACTCGTTGGCCACTAGAATTAAAAGAAATTTTCATCATGGTCTGGTCAGGTTTTGGCTTGGCAAAAAGTACACTTACCTTATTTTTCACAATATGCCCTCCCGCAGACTCTTTAACAACACTCTTACTGAAAACAAAAACTGCCTTCATTCTCCAAGTACAATTAATGGACAGTCAGAGTCCAGGAAAGGCTCTGATTGTGACCTCCTGGACTAATGGAAGAAGTGGGAGATGAAGGAGGGCAGCTGCCCACGTGACAGCCTCTGCATCCTGAGAGTGAGTGTCCAGAAAGTGCTGTGGGCGAGGCACACAGTAAATGAAGACCTTCGGTATTAGGGAAGGGATGGATCTGTCAATTGGAGGGATTGTGAGTCGAGGAGCAGATGAGCTGATTGCTCACAGTCAGAAGGCAGCTTGGAGAAAACTGTGCAGGAAACGATACGCATGGGTTTGTGCTGATTTAATGATATTCTTAAACTACAGTAATACTGCGGCTGTCATATAATGACACACTTGGCTTGCATTTTTAAAATCATCAACATATTTCTAGTTTGACCTTAAAAACTGCCTTGAGCTATTCTCTATTAAAATTAGTAGCTTCTGAATTAGGAAAGAGCACCCTCTAAGATGTCACAGCGGTGCCCTCACAACAAGTATACCTGGCCTTTCCCAAGCTGCCATGTGCATGGCTTCCCTCCAACATCTCTCCGCAGCGCCTGCTTCTCCTTCCAAGCCTAATTTTAATTGTGTTCTAAGTATGCCAAAGCCTCCTGTGGGTCTTGAGGCATTTCAATCAAAAAAAAAAAAAAAACCCACCACCTGTCTTCTACCAGCCATATTTAGTGACATGCTCACCTGTCCTCGTTGGCTTTCATTGTCATTTTTTAGCCTTTTATGGCGATTGAGGAGTATCTATGAATAAGCCTCCTGTCTTTCCATGGAATGAAATGGGGTCGGTTTGAGTACTCACTCTGTCATTAGCAATGAAATCAATCACTTTTATTTTGTATCATTGCAGATATTCATCAAAAATTTTTAACAGAATTTATATTTTATGTAAATAGATGTGAGATGTGAACAGCACACGTGCTCCTAACTTGTCAGGACTAGGATGGACTTGCATCACCAAGACTGTCTCTGACGCTTTTGAACAGTGTTTGCTCTAACATCTTAGCACCTGTGCCTAGTACAAATGTGCCGTGGCTTGTTTCATGTCTTCTCTTGGTTTGCCAGTGATGGCTTTATGTAATGGCATGTAATGACACTTGAAAGGAGCTAATATTTGCTGTGTAGTTCCTCCCACCTTCACCTCTCCACCAAAAGAAACCGTGTAGATGGGAAACCATTGAAGAAAATTCTTTAAAATTGTATAGGAATGCTAAAGTGTGGCTCTTCTGGCCAGGGAGACTTACCAGGATTCAGCATGGTTGTGGACCTTTCCTATTCCAAAATTAGCACTCCCGGGTTAGAATAAGTAAAGGTGCGACTGGAAGAGCACGCCAAGGAAGCAGCGTCTGAGATGTGCCTGGCGGAGGCTGTGTCCTGGCGCCCTTGCCTAGTCTGTCATTAGGAGTTAATGACGCTATCTGCCCAGTATCTCCAGCCCTTCAGATGTTCAGGCGTGTGTTTGGTTGGCACTTATACATTCTCCTTCTTTGGCATGCTGCCAGCCACCTCACTCATTATAGCCAATAAATTAGTAACAAAATGGTTTTAGTTATTGTTTGGCATTGGCACATAGAACAAGTGGGTTTTGGAGGTGCCGTAATGCTCTGGTTATAGCACAGTATCTGGCAGTAAATGTGGGTTTGTGTTCTTGGGAAATTATTCAGCTTTCCAAGCATCACTTCAGTTATCCAAAAGTAGTTACTTTTTTTCCAGGCTTGCTACAAGGGTTCAATGAGATCATACATGGAGCCTCTCATAAATATTTTCATGAGTGGCATTAATTTCATTAAGAATACAAAAAGTTTCATGATTTCAAACAATAGTAATAGGGTGTCAGTAGTAAACTGGGGATAGAGAAAAAAATCAGAATATGAAGCATCCAAGCATCACAGGAAGGCTAAGGAGGTGATTTACCCAGAGTCTCTTCAAACTCTGCTCCTCTGTGCCAGGAAACAGGCTTGGCACACCATCAGCCATTTCCTTCATTATCAGATAAGATAACAAGAAATCTTGATGCCAAACTTCATGAGCCTCCCTCTAACTTCCCCCCAACCCCCAAGAACAGTGTGTTGAGCCATTGCCTTCCTCGTGTCTTCTTTAGTAGCTCACCTGAGTCGTTCGTTCACTCTCCAGTCTCTTACACAGTCTACTCCGATCCTTCCGGCCCTGACATAGTCCTGCCCAGCTCCCGTGGCGCACTGTTGGGCTTACACAGTTGCTGTCTTCTCAGCTGTACAAAACAGGTTAGATGTAATTCAAACCATTTGGACTGCAGCTAGGCGTCACCAGGACACTACACCTCGTGGTGTGGGCTGGATCCTGTTCACATTTGTAGTTCTCCTGTCGCACTAATGGCTTACATTTAGTGTCTAGCCACCTAGACCGCTCACTGTCTTTCCCTTGAACTGTTGCGATAAACTAATAGGAAGTCTCTGTGCATCGCTGGTGCCTTTCACCACAGCCTGTTCCCCATAGAACGGTTCGAATGATCTTTGTAAACACATATCTGAGCGGCCTCCTCCTCATTCAGACCTTTCACTCACAGGATACAGATCGAAAGACTGAGTGGCCAGGACCCTGCCTGCTGGTACAACCTTATTTCATAGTTTTCCTTTTAGGGTTTTGTGTGCAAGCTATGCTACCTCCTTCCCCTCTGCCTGTGTGTGCCTTTTCCCCACAGTGCCTTCCGTCTTCACTGTGTCCACCTTGCCTAGTTCACAGCCTCCCAGCTACGGTGCTACCTGTCAAGCATCCTATGACATGAACTTCCTAGCAGTACTACATTGTTATGTGATTCGTTGGTTGCTGGTTGTCCCTCCTTCCACACACTGATTGATGGCTGTCCCCCCTCCACACTGTATGCTTTACAAGGTCAGCACTGAGAACTAGATTCATAACTTCAGGGTAGGAAGAGATTGGGAATTTATTAAAGGACACTACTTCAGGTAAAAGACATACAACAGAATAGAATATTTGCAATACAAGAGTTACAGCCCACAATATATAAACAAAACACAAATTAGTAGGAAAGAAAATAGAGACAACCCAAAAGAAAGATAAAATGGCCAAGACTGGCAAGGCATATATAAATACCCTGTGCTTGGGACACTGTGTGTGCACTGCCAACGGGTGAGGGTACGCTGCTGGGTAGGTGTGAATATAGCATGTAAATGCCTTGGTGAATATAGATACTCTGCCAAGAAGGCATGAACACCTGCAGGAAGGGAATGAATGTCCTGCCAAGGGGTGTGAATGTCCTGTTGGAGGGCTGTGAACACACTGATGATGGATTGACAATGCACTGCCAGGGGGATATGAGTTGATATAACTGCTCTGGAAACCTGTTTCAGACAAGCTAAACATATCAGAACTTTTTATCCAGCAATAACACTCCTTCTACATAGCCAATAAAAGGCACCCAGAGGTGTGCATCCAAAGTCACATCTGAAGGTTGAGTATCCACTCCACTCCCTAGAACTGCTAAGGCTTTTTCCTTATCTAAAGCAGCACCTGAAACCCAGCTGCCATTAGTCACCAGCACCCAAGGGAATTTCTTGCCAATTTGCTATATAGACACTCTATTAATGTCAAAAGTCCTCCCTAACTTTCCCATGGAACCCTGGGGCTCATCCTCCCTGTTAGGTGGCTCTGCGAGCCTTTATCCCTGGTTATTCAGTGTGTTGTTCATTACTGACGAACTCCACCTGCACTGTCTTCTCGTTGTGTACCGCCAGTTGATCTGCAGACCCCAAGCAGCATAACGGCCACAAGCTGGAGAGAACTGGCTTTGTATGCTAGAAGAGATAAATAAACTGCTGTATTCACAAGACAGAATATTAATTACACCCAAAAGCATGGATGAATTTGTCAAATACAATATTTAGAAAAGACCCTGGATAGCTTAGGAGTACATACTGAATGTTTCCATTCATACATGGATCAAACTTGCATTTTGAGTTGTAGCGTCGCCATCTGGTGGCCTTGAGGAAAAGAGCAAGTTGTCTAAAAGGAGCCAGAGAAACTCTTTCCTGGCTACAGCTTGCATTGCGGTCAGTCCCCTGGTGCACCTTTCCATGCAAAGTTCACGGGTGCAGTTCTGGGTCTGATGCAGTCCGAATGCTCTCTCTGACCCCGCAGTGTCTGTCGCTCAGCTTCACAGTTCTGCACGTTGCTTTCTGCAGAGTGAGAACCGCGTGAAGGCTGAATAGCTGCTGTGGTAACACTGAGTAATTGCAGTGCCTCCGCCAGCCTGGCCACTGGAAAGAGTTATTGCCCCTTCCTCAGAAACCTAATGGGCTCGCACGAATGGCCCCTGCCCATGCCACAGGGTCATTTCATCTCAAGTGTTTTTTGAAAATAGCGTTTTCCCCTCGTATCTGTTTAAAAGTCCATTTGTCGCGCACATCGGCATCCTATCACAATATTTCTCATTAACTGAAATGTTACAATTAATGCACTCTGCAACTGGGGGAAAAATTAATCTCGTCAGCGGAATATCCTGTCAGCTTTCTCAGCTCTTGTGCAGCCAGTCAACACAGGGCGGGGGGTGGGGGGGGTGCAAATTATCATCCACCTGATAGAGCCTTTTTCAACATACCCTTGTTTTATTTGAATACTGAAACAAAGTATAGCCAAACATTCCAAAGGAAAATGGAAACCACTATGCAAATGCCATTTCTGATAACCCAACACACTTACCAGTGAGGGACATGATACCCGTGGTTATCTTTTACCGAAAGCACGCAGGGCTGAATTACAGCACTGAATTAAACCCTACCTTCTCTCTAAGCACTGCTAACACTCCTGGGAAAGTTTAAATGAATTTGTATTTGTATTCTAATTTTAGGACAATTAATTCTCTCAAGTTAGAAAAGGCTGCAGTTTTTTGCTCTTGAGTTTCCAAAGGCTGAGTTAGAATGCATTCAGCATGCTCTTGCCTTAAAGGCGTGTAAAGATGCCACGTGGAGCTGCTCCACTCAGGAGCTCTTCCTGGAATTTCAACTTAACCACCACTTAAACTTCCACAGTGTGGTAGTTTTTACTGCGTGACACTGTGTGGCAAGGGTTGATTTTGTGCCTGTGTCCTCACTGGACACTCTGTGTTCAGGTCTCATCCGTACCTCTTTTTTTTTTTTTTTTTAACACAGGAATACCGAGGCCTATGGAGCTCTTGGCTTGAGACAGGACGAGTTTTCGCTTTGCCCTTACTTGACTTTGAATATTTAGGGAAAATTCTCAGTTTGCAGATTTAGCTAATGGCACTACAATGTCACTCTTCTCTGTTTAACATTCAGCTTTGTTAATCAAGAAGACCACAGATTGGCTCTTTGCATGTTGATTAAATTGATTACAGCTGTGGGCCTTGATAGCACTTTTTTTTTTCCAAGTGTCTCTAATTAATCAGACAATGCTTGATTGGGCTTTTCTGTTTTGAGGAGATAAACTGACTTCCTCCAGAATTTTCACCCCGAATCATTCTCCATTGCAAGGTAAAACCGTGAGTCACTACCCGGGTGACTTTTTAGTTTCCTTTTATCCTTCAGCAGCTTAAAAAAAAAAAAAAAAAGGAAAAGAGGCGAATGAAGAAACAAAGAGAGTGAAAGGGGAGATGGAAGGGTGGAAGATCCTTTTGGAAGACAAATTAAAATCTAATATTAAACATCACATACTCACTTGAACCCAAATTTGGAAAGACAGTCTGTGTCCCCTGGAAGCTGTTAGGGTGGCCTACCCTCTACAGGGAAGTGTCTCTTTTACTCTCCTGCTCTAACCTGTGTTCTTTGAACTGTCAGGTGTAGCCTACAGCATCCTTTTCCTCAGATTCCAGTTTCAGGAAGGAGGTTTTACATGGCCACCCGCTTTTTAGTCATAGCTCCAGTTGAAGCACCTGTCATTCATGCAAATACAAGCCTGACCATTTCCAGGAGCATTGCCAGCATTGAAGAAGACCTGAGATGCTCTGTTTTCATCTTTAGAGTCCATTCGTCAAGTGAGACAGGCCACCAGGACCTTGGCTTACATGGAGGGAGGGGACAGTGAGAAAGGCCACCTGTTTTCCTGTCCCTTCCCCATCCATATATGGCTCCATAAAGCACAGTATCCAAAAGCACTTGCTCACCTTAATCACTGACGTTGGATGTTTTAGACACTTCAGAAGACTTGGAGATCTCATCATTGCGGGAAATCCTAAAGAGAGAGATTCTAAGGTTAAGATATAAAGTACCTACATGGATCTGAGTGGTAGGGTACTTCTCTAGCAAGAGGAAAGCCCTGATTCTATCCCCGGCACCGAAAGAACAACAAACAATAATAATAATGCCTGGAGTACAAAACCAAAGTGCAGCTAAAGTTAGAAAGGGTAGAGAGTAAAAGAGATGTCTAGCCCCTCGTTTTTATTGTCAGGTGTAATGGTGACTAACAGTTTCTTAGACACCTAACATCTGGAAACTTCCTATGTGTATACTAGGAAACACAGCTTATATGTGCTTTTGTTTGTGGTTGGGGATAGTCCTAGCCTCTGCACTACTTCTGTGACCCTTCAGTAAGTAGGTCCTGAGCATCTTTCTGAATTTGTACACAAATATTGGCTTATTTTTCACAAGCTTCTAGAAATGCCTTCCTCATTTGGCTGGATTGGGACATCTAGGTGGTTTCCACATGTTTGTTATTGCCAAAGGAATGAGAACCAACATGTTCATGCACTTTTCTTCCTGAAGGCCACAGTGAGTTTCTAGCAGAAGAATTACCCAGCCAAAAGGTAATCTGATAAGAGTTACCTAATTGCTTACCTGTTCACTGATTTACTCCTGCCAGAAATCTAAGTATGTACCCATCTTGTTTGTTTGTTGTTTGTGATGGGGTTTATTTTTTTAAAAAAAGATTCAGGCAGTCTTTGAACTCATTTACATGGGTAGAGATTATCCTGAATTCCTTCCTCCCCCCCAACCCCCACCTCTGCCTCTCCAGTACTAGCATTAGTATAGGTAGGCACATGCCAACACTCTCAGCCCATCGCCCTCTCTTAGTCTCTTAAGACCTTAGAACTTTTGCCTAGCTGTCAGTGAAAGATCATCATTTTAATTTGCATTTCTCTGTGTACATATCAAACATTTTTCCATGCATTGAAGAACATGACACGTCTTTTTCTCTGACTATATGTTCATAAGTTTCTGGGGTTCTATCTTAATATGCTTAGCATTCCTGTGGATCCAACAGAGTGTTGGTCACATGAACACTCGATGCCTATTTAGATGTAACTTAACAAATGAAGCACACAAAAATAATCTAAAAAAGAATGTAAAATCCTTACGGCTAAGTGCCATTGCCAGAGATGCTGACGATCAGTGAAGAACCATTTACACATGGTATCTTCTCGGGAGGTTTGTGTACAATGTCCAGAGCAGAAAAGTCTCTGCTACACACTCTGCTTCTCAAGCCGCAGCTTATGAGTCATATTGACCAAAGATGGATTAATAGGAGAAAAACACACACATTCCCTTTGACACTGCTATTTTAAGTTTTGCGATCTGCATTGAGGCTTTCAAAGAGGGGAAATAGAGAACCAAAGAAAACTAGAGGCTTATACATCCTTTAAATATAGATTACATATAGAAACACAACATGAAAAGAAACAGAAAGGGGCTTAGTATGGAAGCAGTAAGTTGTGGGGAGAGGATAAGAAAGTGTATAAGAGAAACTACTGGAAGATGAGAGCACTTTTCATGAGGATTGTCCAGATTGATCTTACTCCCAGATCCCTATCTCTGATGAAAAGAATGTTCACTTGTCCCTGATATTTAAAAAAAAAAAAAATAACAGTATCTTTAGTGTAGAAAATTTATGTCCTACTTTTAGGAAGGCATAAAGAGTCAGAAAGCTCCAACTTAAGGAATCAGGATGATAGACTGGCATCTACCAACAGGCATGTCATATTCTGGCCCCACACTGAGCTGCAACTATTTTGGCACCATAAAAAATTACTCTGGTCAAGGGGGAGATTCTGTGGTTTTTTCCATCTATTTCCATCCACCTAAATACTTAAATCATACCACCATTTATTCCTAGTTGCACAGAATACAGTCCTGGCTGATCTTCACAGCCATCTCTAACCTTGCACCAATCCATTCTCTACACATCTACACTGAGGTCTTGCTAAAATGCACATCTACAGTTCTTCCAGACTGTCTTTTGCTTGATTCCTTAGGGCCCTCATAACTTATTTTGTTACTCATGTATTCTATTTTTTTTTTCAGCAACTGGATGTAATGCATACATATATGTATGAAATACATACACACACATGCACACACACACACAACAGATACATACACACTTCTGACTGGCTGTGATGTAGAAGATGCGGTAGAAGAGCAAGGACTCCAGTGCTTTGTACGATGGAATGTAAATTAGCGAGGCCATTATTTATGAAAATCAGCATAGAGGTCCTTCAAAAAAAACTAAAGTAGAACTATCAGAACATCCTGTTGTGACACTACTGAGTAATTTTAAATTCCTGAAGGAACTTAACTCAGCATTCAACAGTCATGCCTGCATACCCATGCGTGCTATGGCAATTGTCACAATAGCTGGTTTATGGAAACAGCCTAAATGGCCATCATCAGTGAATGTAAAAGTATATAGTTAAACAGTGGAACTTTATCTGGCCATGAAGAACAATGAGATTATGAACAATGACGGAAAATGGGTTGAACTTAAAGATCATTTTAGGAGGTTGCAGAGTAGAGGTGAGACAAGAGAGTGAAATTGGGTAAGTCACATGATGTCCATGTAAGAAAACATTGTAGTGAAGCCATCATTTTGTACACTGACTATATGCTAATAAAAACTGTTTGGTCTTACTAATCACCAGAGAATTGCAAAGCAAAACCCACAAAGAGATATTCTCTCCTTGTTAGAATGGCTAAGATCAAAAAGACGGAAATGAATGCAGGCAATGATGTGTATACTGTTGTTGGCAATGTAAATTAGTACAGTCATTATGGAAAGCAGTATGGAGATTCCTTAGAAACTAAAAGTGAAAGGAGCATGATTCTTCAGTTTCTTTTTTATTCACAATACTGAGACTCCCGTGTATGAGTACTGTATGCCATTTCTAGCCTTCAACATTTCCTGTGTCCCTCTGCCACTGCATCTCAAATGACC